TCGAATCATAGTGCTTCAAACGAGTCGCCTTGATACCGACTCATTAGGTGTTTCGCCATGACGTACGAACGAAACAAAGTTTTTCACGTGCACGCGCAAACCCGGGAGATTTCAAACCTGAGGCCCCGCCCTCTGACGCAGTAACCCAGACACACACACACACACACCCACAAACACACGCACACCCACAAACACACGCACACAAACATGCCGGTCGATTGAAGTCACACTGCAGATGGATATATTGAGTCTCTACCCAAAGATGAAACATCAGCATTATAACCAAGCAGTTGGAAACTTCTGGAAGCTACATGCTACAAAGAATACTTCATCTGAGTTTGTTAAAGGAAGGATCAGTAAAGAGTAACTGATGGACGTCAGGATGGGTTTCTTCCTACATTTCTCAAGTGTAAGTACGTGCGGTTAAAGTTGTTGCCTCGTTTACTCTAGCTTGCAAATGTATTTAGTTGTGATTTGTTACTTGTAACCGCGTGTACTGTATCAGGTTAACTGGATATATTATCTTATCGCGTGCAAAGTCACGTTAAAAACGCGACGCGTGCTGTTTGTTTATGGAGCTCCGTGCTAGAGTTCTGCTCCCGCGATTTATTCGGAAATGTATTCCCGCGCCGCAGAAATCTGGCGCGGGGAGAGAGAGAGAGAGAGAGAGAGAGCGAGAGAGAGAGCGAACGAACGAACGAGCTTTGTGTACTTTGTGCTGTGTGTGTGTTTTTATACAGACAGCTTGGCTGTCTGGACTGTATACTGGGTGATATTTGGTTGTGTTCTCCGCTCTAGCGGGACCGGGCGCGGCGGGCAGAAAACGGAGCGGGTTCTCAGGCTAAAACCTGGCGGGTGCGGGCTGAAGCGGGAGCGTTGTCATCCGGAGGTGTGTGTGTGTTTTTGTGTGTGTGTGGTATGGCGAGTACACGACTGTCTCCTTCGTTCGGTTATCCGTGGCACTATCCACTCGCCATAGTGTGGCAGCTAAAGTCCACGCCTACACTATCGAGCGTGTATGAACTGTGATTACTTTTTAAATTGCTGATTAGCTATTGGCCATTTCCCTCTCTGACTGAAGGCAGTCGACCAATCGCGACAGACTGTCATCGGTCCAATCAGCGCAGATTAGCTTCGCGCTAAGGAGGGGTTTGGGAACAAATGAATCACTGGACGATTCATACAGGAGTCGCTGGGATAATTAGATAAAAATAAATGCAGATTATAAGACCATGAAAGTGTTTTTTGACCTTGCATGCATATTAGACTGTTGTTGGAGACCCTTACAACCAAGATATGACCTTATTTCATGTATAATATGGGCTCTTTAACTGACTGAAATTACTATTGCCGACTACATAATGTTGAGTCCTAACATCTGCGTTAGAAATCTGAATTTCCCATTACCAGGCCCGGATTAATAAATCAGAGGCCCCTGGGCACAATGTCTTGTAGGCCCCCTATAACCGCACCCCATAGTTTAATTAAAAATAATATTGATATAATATTTGTTAAATAAAATTAATCTATAATGTATTGTCCACATTTGTTTAAATAGATGATATACAGTACATATATTTGTAGTCTACAGAGATTTAACTTATTTTTAAAGCATTTAAGCACACTTTAAATTTTTTTTTTAATACAACTAAGGGAAGTTAATAGATTTTAATATACTTGTTCAAGTTCACTGAAGCAGCACTAAAACTTATATTTAAGGGTATTTTTAATGTATAACTTCTACAAACTTATAATGCATATGATTTGGATAACACCTCTCCAATCCAGTTCTAGGAATCTGAGTCCTCCATAATACACACACTTATTCATTATTCCTACTTGTCTTCCTCGTGATGGAGAGTATGTGCCCATAATGCCCATTGGTTAATCCGGCCCTGCCCATCACTACGTCTAACCTCACAAGCAGCCTTGCACACATATTGTATTTAGGGCTGCTTTCTTGTGGGCTGTTGTATTTGAATTTGAGGATGGGTAGATGGTTGTGGTAGATGATAGTGTTCATGTGTCCTCTGAATACATGTTTCAAAAAATGTATGACTGCGTTTTTAATTATACAATATTTATCCTGTTGATTTTCAATCTTGTACCTAACAAATATCCTCATTTAGAAAAAAAACTAAAACTAATACTGAAACTAATAAAAACTAAACTAAAACTAAGACATTTTAAAATATAGAAACTAATAAAAACTAGGAAATCTGCCTCTAAAACTAATAAAAACTAACTGAATTTGAAAACAAAAAGTCAAAACGAAATAGAAACTAAAACTAAAGAAAAATCCAAAACTATTATAACCTTGCCACATACAACTTGATCTTCCATTGTTTATTGAATTTGATAAAAAGTGTGCAACATCTTCACGCTAGAAAGCATGTTTTATGTGGTAATGTAACTGATATGATATGATATGCTGCAACGGCGACCTTTGACGTTGAATGCACAGTTATAGGAATGAATGTGATGTTCAATATGAGAAAGGTAAGAATGATCGCTATGGCCAATACAGTAGTTCCAGTGTTAAGGACATTTTGTGTTCAAATATTCATTTATTCATTCATTTCGGCTTAGTCCCTTTATTAATCTGGGTTCGCCACAGCGGAATGAACCGCTTGTACAAATATTTGATAATGCTAATTAAATTTTTTCTCTCTCTTACTTCCTCTCTGTTCAAAGCTCCATGGACTCGAGTGATGGTGTATGGATTCAGTCATAAAGTGCAGCGTAATGGCCAGCTGAACCTGATGGGGGCCGTGTGTTTCCCGCTGGACGCCTCTCCGTCCAACACAGGCCTCACTTCTCCACCCACAGCCAACCAGTATCCTAGCATCATCATCCCCACTGACAAAGTGCACGACAAATTGGGCACGTCACAATCTCTTACATACAGTGGGGGAAAGAAGTATTGAACACATAACCATTTTTCTCAGTAATTATATTTCTAACGGTGCTGTAGACTTGAAATGTTCACTGCATGTCGGTAAGAAACAAAGAAATCCATATATACAAAGAAAATAAAACCAATTTGTTTATTCATTAAATGATGTGCAATAAAATGAAATAACGCAGGGAAAAATAATCTAACACATAAAAAAATTGGGTGTAGAAAGACTTGGAAAGCCCAGACAGCAGCTGAAATCTCTCAGTAGTTCTTTAGCAACCCTCTGCCCTTCCTCAGTGTAAATGAACATCAGCTGCTTCAGTCTAACATCTACATTAGCAGGAGGATAAAGATGAAACCAGGGTGGACATTTCAGCAAGACAGTGATCCAAAACACAGCCAAGGAGACTCTCAAATGCTTTCAGAGAAAGAAAACCAAGCTGTAGAATGGCCCAGCCAATCATCTGAACTGAATTCAATAGAAAACACAAAATAAAGCTCAGATTTAATAGACGAGACCCACAGAAGCACTAAAATTTTGAATCTCTGTTGAAGTCTATGAGAAACTCACACCTGAGCAACGCATGAGGCTTCAGTCTCCATGTGAGAGGCGTCTTTAAGCTGCGATCACCAAAAAATCCTTTTATATAAAGTATTAAATACGTTGGGAGAGGCAGTCACAGCAAGAAGGTTGCTGGGTCGCTGGTTCGAACCTCGGCTCGGTTGGCGTTTCTGTATGGAGTTTGCATGTTCTAAATGCAAACTTGCTGAATAAGTTGGTGGTTCATTTCGCTGTGGCGACCCCGGATTAATAAAGGGACTAAGCCGACAAGAAAATGAATGAATTAAATACGTTTCAACAGTTCAGTACTTTCTCCTTGTGTCATTTCATTGTTATTACACAAAACTCATATTTTTTGGTTTTGTTTTATGTTTATGTTTGTATTGTTTGGGTTTTTACCAAAATCTGGTTCAATTCCATGTCAGCAGCTCCTTTAGAAAAACATGACGTGTTTAATACTTATTTTCCCCACTGTACATTTATTTTATTTTAACAGTGATCTGCATTATTTTGCATTCTCTAAGTGAACAATCAGATTCATTAAGACCATTCCTGCTGACTTTAGCTCATATCTATATTTCTGTCCACAGGCTTGTCTCCCCCTCCTGGAGCAGTGCTGGTGTTGCACTCGTTGCTTTTTGAGTTTCCATTGGCGATGGTCTTCGCTGAACAGCTGCTAACCTACAGTGTAGGAGAAACCATAAAGCGCTCTGAGGATGAGCTGGACACGGTGCCCACTTCTGTGCTCATTCAGGTCGTGGAGCTGCTAGGTGAGATATGCTTATTTAATTTGCTCTGAGTTTATACAACCAGGGGTGTATAAACTCAATCCTGGATGGCCGGTGTCCTGCAGAGTGTAGCTCCGACCCCAATTAGACACACCTAAACAAGTTAATCACGCTCTAACTAGCATTCTAGAAACTTCCTGGCAGGTGTGTTGAAGCAAGTTGGAGCTAAACCCTAGACATTATATGTTGCATTCAACACACTGCTGTTTTGTTTGTTTCAACAGTTTGTTTTCCTTTTTTTTAAGTCTTGAAGTGTCTTAAATGTGCTTTTATAGTGTTGTCACGATACTGGAATTCGGTACCAATCGATACTGAAGTTTTAAAAACAACCCAGGCTCATTCTGAAAGCGTAGTCCCATGGACGTTTTTGGAGACCGCAAAATACGTCCCGGGAGGTACTTATTTATGCAGTTTTGGTTTTCGCAAATCCACAAGAGGCCGCTGTGTACGCTTTTTTAGATCTCAAATTTCTCGAGTAAGTTCTCCCGCTAGTGCCGTTTGCGCCCGCTGTCCACGCATAAACCCACTGGAAGCTGCTTTCGACCAACCAACCCTCCATCACCTGATTTCTGGAACCGCTCCTCCCTGTACTCGAATCCCGCCGTCCTTGTCCTCGTCTGGCGTCTCAAATCCGTTAATGTACACAACGAGCTAACTGGACAAACTGGTTGCGGTGGGAAAGCCTTCCACAGTTAGCGTTCGTTTAAAAAAAATTTAATGCAGCCATACCATACGTACCTCCGGCTACATAATTTGCGGTCTCCAGAAACGTCCACGGGACTATGTTTTCAGAACGAGCCTGTGATTCTGTTTAAAAACCTCCATTTCACGCTAACATTTGAGCGCCATTGAGCGCTTTCTTAAACAGCGCTGATTTGCCATTGTGTTCACATGCTCAACAGAAATGACTGCAATTGGCCATGAAGGTCGTCGGTTTATTGAACTCACTGCTATTTACTGAGTGTAACCACATATACAAGGACACTGTGTTTTAAAGTCACATCCATCAGCTGATTTGGATATAAGCTGACATATGAGTGATCCGCTGATGAATCACGGCTTTAAAATGCTCCAGTGTAACACAGATAACATATACAGTTATTTTAAACACTTTCTATAGTGAATCTAGCAGTCGCGCTCGGATCCAAGCCAAAACAATCGGTCTGAGATCGCCTGAATGAGGTGGTCTCGGCTTGATTTAAATGAACTCTGGAGCAGATCCATTGTAGTAAGAAAGCGATACGATCCGAGCCCGGCTATATCACAGTGTTTTATGGATATGTAATAGGCATATACTCGGCTATATAAAGAGAGAATTATGAGTAGGGTGGGAGGTCATTCCAGACATCCCAAGTCTCCCGGAAGTCTCCCGCAAATGCACAGTGGACCCTCCCAGTCCACAAATACGTTGCGCACCCTTTCAACCCTCCCCACCGCATCCCTCCTCGCTCTTTAGTCTTCATACACGTTGCGCGCATCCTGTCAAACACCACCAAACCCCCAGCCCCCCTGACAGCAGAGCAGGACTCTTCAAAATAAACCGTGAAACTCTGACCAATGTGAAGAGAGTTTACTCACACATGACTTGTTTTATCTCTTTTGGTCCGTTTAGAAACTTTGCCGTGTAAAAACGTAAAAAAAATAAAAATCTAATATTAAATCTAATTTAAAATAAATAAATCAATTGGAAAAAAGTATAATGTAAACAATTAAAATAAAAGAATCATAATTCGGACTTTATATACTTCTTTACTTTACCTTTTGTTCTATTTGTTCTCCTTTCCTGTCTCTATCAATGTTATTTATTCATTTTATTATTATTATTATTATTTATAATATTTGTTTTTTACTTATTATTATACACTGTTAGACCTTACCAGGCTTTTTTACAGAAGAACACTGGCAACACTGTTGCCAGCTACTCGCTGTAAAAGTTTGGTTACAGTAAGTAACTGGCAACAGTGTTGCCAGTTAATTACTGAAACTGAACCATTACAGTGAGTGGCTGGCAACAGTGTTGCCAGTTGTTTACTGTAACTGAACCATTGCAGTGAGTAGCTGGCAACAGTGTTGCCAGTTAATCACTGTAATAGAGCAGTAGTGGTAACTAACTGGAAACTGTGTACAGTTAATTACTGTACTGTAGTGTTACAACTCACAGCATTATACTGCATACACAGTAGTATGTCAAGGTGTTACTAAAATTAATTAGTATTCTTACCTGTTATTAATTCTTTAAATTAATTAAGTTGTAAATTCTGACAAATTTATTTTATTGTTTTGGCAGCAAACAAATATAAAACAGAAAATGTATAACAAAATTAAGAAATCAGCAGATATAAATATCATCTTGCATATTACTGAGAGCCCCAGGTCTGCACAGCAAGGCTGCAGTCAAACTAACGTTTAAGCATGCAAAATTCTGTCATATGGCACTGCGAAAAGGAGTGGGATTAAACAAAATATTTAGAGATTGAAAAAGCAAGCAACTGGTCCATAATTTTTGTTCAGAGACGTCATGGTTTAATCTTTGATTAGTCTCAAGCAATCACATGATGTGATTTCGCAGTTCAGAGTTCTCCAAGCTTGAACTTTCCAATGCTGCAAACTGTAAAATTTGTCGCATGAGCATGCATTCCAGGTCTGCAGTATTCACATGCGTATGAATGGAAGTCTAAAGGGAGAAAAGTGCAGTGTGACTGGGACTTTAAGCTGTAACTCAAATTAAACACACCTGATTAAACTAATTAAGGCTCGTTAGAAATCTACAGGTAATGTTGAAGAAGGGTGGGAACTAAACTCTGCTGCCCTGCAGTTCTCCAGTAACTTGGAGTTTGACCCCCATGGTATATAGCAGGGGTGCTTAATCCTGTTCCTGGAGATCTACGTTCCTGCAGATTTCAGTTGCTACCCATATCAAACACACCTGCCTGTAATTATCACGTGGTGTTCAAGTCCTAATTAATTGGTTTAGGTGTGTTTGATATGGATAGCAACTGAAATCTGCAGGAAGGTAGAGGAACAGGATTAAGAACGCCTGGTATATAGCATACTTTTAAAGCAACTGCTAACATTTATCACAATCACATATCCAATAAACACACAAACACACACACAAAGTGCTGCAGTGAAATGTGTTACTCTCTCCTCAATGCTGACCATGCAAAAAAAAAAAAAAACTGAACAGCAAAAAACAAAATAATTATTTTAAATTTTAAAGTTTTAAATAATTAAAAGCTGTGTCAAATCTCAAAAAGTTTAAAATAATTATAGAAAACAAAAATAAAGTTGGCAACACCGTAAAACCAAAGGATCCAATCTTTTATTGTTATAATTATCTCATGACAACAAACTTTATTATTGTTTCAAATATAAATTCATAGGTGGAAACACTGCTCTGAAAAATACTTAGCAACAAACTCACAATCTGGGACCGGACAGGGGAGCTTTTGTGTGTGGATGGCTATGTGTATCATGTTTTTGTGATTCCCTGTGATGATGTGCACATGTTACCTTACTGAGATGATGGAATTTAATTTTGGCTTAGTTGCCAGAAAGATACATACAACTTTTAGCATCTGTACATTATGGCAGTATGCAATATCCAATAAATACATATACTTAAACAAAAGTAATGTAAAAAGTTATATGAGGAGAGGCTAACTAGCTAACAATGTAGCTTTCAAGTACACAGCCTTATTTTATAACCCCTCAAAAACATTTGAACACATTTTACTTACTCATTTAAGATTCTTATTTAAAGCCTAAAACATATCAGACTCAACATCTGAATTGATGGACAGAGAATAGAGCACACTCAGCAGTAAACAAATCAAACACCTGGCTCTCTTAAAGGGCCAGCATTTTCTGAAAACTCTTTCTAACACCTTTGTGTTTAGAATAAGACGGACAGCCTGTGGGAGTGTGTGGTGATGCCTAAATCATTGTTTTTTACCGTTATTTACTGCACAATCTACAGAGTAACAGTGCAGTTATACTAATTAAACACACCTGATCAAACTAAATCTAAAGGTAGTGTGTTGAAGCAGGGCTGGAACTAAATTCTAATAGGCTGTGGCCTTCCAGGAGTTTGACACCCCTGGTACATAGCATATTTTCAAAGCAACTGCCTACATTTATCACAGTTATGCACATATCGTTTAATAAAAACAATAAAAAATATACTATAATATAAACTTCATCCATAGAAAAAAAAAAAAAAATAAATAATCTGATTCTCATGTCGTTCCAAATCTGTAGTAAAAATAATAAAAAACACAACAAATATCATGATTTATACATTTATTTAGGAAAGCCTTTATACTGTTAATGGCACTTTTACTTGCCAGTTTTCCAGACAAATTCATTGAGTCTCTGCAAAAATGTATGTGCGTGTTGTTTAAGATATATATATATATATTTTTAATAACACATTTTTACTAGTTATTTAGCAAAATACTAATATTCAGTTGAAAGTGCAATTTAAAATCTTAACTATAGGTCAAACTAGGCAATTAAATTAGATTAATTATAGAAAAAGTAAACAAAGTTATAAAAATTGTGACAATTTCTTTGCTCTGTGTGAATATTTTTGCCTTTAAATGCATTTTGTCCATATCTTACACTTACCTTTTAATAAGCTCTGTGGCATTGGTTGACTCCTGATACTCAATGTTAAAAACATAAAAGCAACCAAAGAAAACACAGAGATAAAATAAATATAAAATAGCAACATAAAGCATCAGAGTAGATGGGGCAGTAATGGTTGAACATTAATTTACCATTTATTATCACAGTAAATATCTGTAATGGTACATGGAGTAAATTACTGTAATTTATTCTTTGCACTACAGAATTTCATACAAATCCTGCTCCTTTTACAGTAAAATACTGTTTATTTTCATTACAGCTAAACACTGGCTATTTTACAGTTATTTACTGCATAATCTACAGTAAGGGTTAACAGTGTACATATATTATTATTATTATTTATATACCAGTACTTCTCCTGACCAGTCCGACAACAGATTAAAAAAAAAGAAGAATAAGTATGAAGAAAAAATAGAGGAGGGGAAAAAAAAGGAATAAAAAAAATCTACTTACATGTACTAAATTCACAGGGTAAAGTGTAACGTACACTGTTAGACCTTACCAGGCTTTTTTACAGTAGAACACTGGCAACACTGTTGCCAGCTACTCACTGTAAAAGTTTGGTTACGGTAAGTAACTGGCAACAGTGTTGCCAGTTAATTACTGAAACTGAACCATTACAGTGAGTGGCTGGCAACAGTGTTGCCAGTTGTTTACTGTAACCGAACCATTGCAGTGAGTAGCTGGCAACAGTGTTGCCAGTTAATTACTGTAATAGAGCAGTAGTGGTAACTAACTGGAAACTGTGTACAGTGAATTACTGTACTGTAGTGTTACAACTCACAGCATTATACTGCATACACAGTAGTATGTCAAGGTGTTACTAAAATTAATTAGTATTCTTACCTGTTATTAATTCTTTAAATTAATTAAGTTGTAAATTCTGACAATTTTTTTTTATTGTTTTGGCAGCAAACAAATATAAAACAGAAAATGTATAACAAAATTAAGAAATTAGCAGATATAAATATCATCTTACATATTTCTGAGAGCCACAGGTCTGCACAGCAAGGCTGCAGTCAAACTAACGTTTAAGCATGCAAAATTCATTTGTCATATGGCACTGCGAAAAGGAGTGGGATTAAACAAAATATTTAGAGATTGAAAAAGCAAGCAACTGGTCCATAATTTTGTTCAGAGAGGTCATGGTTTGATCTTTGATTAGTCTCAAGCAATCACATGATGTGGTTTTGCAGTTCAGAGTTCTCCAAGCTTGAACT